GTAACCAGAGGCTGGGGTGTCGACTCCACCAACTACCGCAGCATTTTCGGGAGCCTGCGCTATCTGGTAAACACACGTCCTGACCTCGCTTATTCCGTTGGATACGTGAGTAGATTTATGGAAGCACCTAAGGAGGAGCATCTAGTGGCTGTCAAGCGCATCCTGCACTGTCGCCGTAACCAGAGGCTAGGGTGTGAGATACTGCGCAGGGAGAGGAAAGGAGAAACGTGAACTCACTATATAGCCGTAACCAGAGGCTGGGGTGTGAGATATTGCACTGGGAAAGGAAAGGAGAAACTTGAGTTGGTCGGTTATAGTGATAGTGACATGGCCGGTGACGTTGATGATCGTAAAAGCACCAGCAGGATGATTTACTTCCTCTCAGGCGACGCGATCTACTGACAATCAACTAAACAAAAGGTAGTTGCTTTATCTTCTTGTGAAGCAGAATACATCACTGCTTTGACGACGGCAACACAGGGGGTCTGGCTTGCGCGACGGATGGAAGAACTCATCGAAAGAGAAGGCGATCCACCAATGCTATATGTGAACAATAAAGCGACGATCTCCCTAATCAAAAATCTAGTTTTGCATGACCGAAGCAAGCACATAGAAATCAGATTCTACTACATCCGGGAATGTACAGATCGAGGGCTCATCAAGATTGATTTCATTCGAACAGAGGAACAACTTAGAGACATTTTCACCAAGTCTCTTGCGCAGGTAAAATTTGAGGAACTTCGCTCCAAGATCGGAGTTCAAATAATAAGGTATATATATACCTAAAAGTTCAGGTTGGTCACTTCATTTGTTTTAATAGGTGAATTAAATGAGAAATAATAACATGGGTGGTTTTTCAGTCAAATCTCAAAATCCTCCTATTCTTTCTCTCGGTTATTCTTCAGCCTTTTTGGTTTCTCTTCTCCAATAATTTCTTCGCAGTTTCCAGCAAGATTTGGTCACCAACACTCAAGTCAAAACTAACATATCTCAGCCCCTAATCTCACTCTTTCGTTCTCAAACATGATTAAAAGGCAATTGTCTTTCCCCCTACTTGTTTCTCTCCCTTTCCCTCACCATGGAAGTAACTGGCTACTACTGCTGCTACTTTTTTTTGCTGCTACTTTTTTTTTTAGTACATACAGAATATTACATCCTTCCTACAACGTGAGAGTGGCCTTCATAAACTAGAATTGGGGAACTATTTTAACTACTTTCAGCTCTCCATTTCTGCATAAAAATTGTGAGTAATCTTGTTAAGAAGGCGTTGTTAAGAAGGCGTTGTTAAGAAGGCGTTGTTAAGAGATGGTGGAGTGTAGCTTTCAATTTTTAAAGAAAATTGAGAACAAGAAAACATGGGTATTCTAATGACACATGGACAGTTAGATCTCTATAAATTTGGAGACAAAAAATATTTGGAGGCAAATATGCGTGAAATTAAAGGTTTCCAAGGTTATTTTTCAAATTTTCTAATTTTGTGAGCTATTTCTATGATTATGTTCGAGCCTATTTTTTTTTTTTAATTTCTAACTTTCAATGTCACTTTGGCAAAATTCAATATTTTCAAATATTTAATTTTTTAATTTTCATTTTTATTTAATTTTTTATCAAATTTTCTTCTAATTTTGGACACTTTTCTCTTCTATGTCCCCTCCAGATTTATTCTCAATAATTAATTAAAAATTTGTCAAAACAACTCCTAGAATCCCATGAATCTCAAGTAGAAGTTGCGGTTCCTATGGGTTTCTTATTAGTTGTTAAACCTCGTTTTTTCTTCCTTAATCTATGACTTAAAGATGGTTCAATCCCTCATAAACTCTAATTCATACCATCCACATCACCACCCATCATGTAACGCTCACGTGTTAACCCTCGTTTTGTTCTTCCTTAATCTGTTGCTGCTGCGTTTTTCTTTTTCAGAATATTACTCGTGGGCCATCATAGGTATAATGAAACCTCATCCAACCCGATTGAACGGACCAACTAAGAAAATTAAGTGACTTCAACTTAGATCAACTAGGTAAGTGAACTAATTGTTAGAACTCTTTTGAGCTAGGATTGATAAATTGTATGTTGCATGTATAACACATATTGTGGTTTATCTACATGTTATTACTTGTATTATGTGATGTTCATGAACTTTTTATGATGCATGTACTTCCAGTATGTCGATTTCTTTATTTTATAGTACCATGTTCATCTTATGTCATATGAAACATTTGATGAGTCGTGTATCATAAAAATGAATGATATGATATGTGTATGTACATTTTGTCTCATGGGTAGGTTATACCATAAAAAAGTATAATGTGTATTATAAACGTGTACAATGATTTAAAACTTTGAGACCTCAGGCATGTTGTATGCCACAAGCATGAGATATTTATATAGATGCATATACCATGATATGATACATGTTCCTTTCTTTTCGTTGGTTTCCGACCGTGTGAGTATGTGCTAACCTGTAATCAAGCTTAGGAGATGCATATATACGCTAGCCTAGTGGATCATGGGCACATGCATGAACTATTAATTTGATAACGAATCCAAATGGGTGTAAGGATTTAGACTATAGTGACATTTTTGTGATGGCAAAAATGGTTATTTCTTGGAGTGCCCTAACATATACTAATAATTAAGTACCAAAAATATTTGTGAGGAAAAAAAGAGGAAGCTATGTGCTTTGGATGGAAATTTGAGTGGCAGTAGCTCATCATTATGCGTTTAGCTACACCTATATTAGTGTAGCTATTTGAATATGCCTTCTTTCTTACACACAATATATCATTTAATCTCTTTTTCTTTTTATATATAATTTTGATCATAATTTATTTTAAAATGCTTTTTTAATTAGTCAAATAATGATAGAACATCAAAATACATTTTATTACTTAATTTGAAATACTTATATTTAAATGAGATGAATTATACCATTCTCACGGCTCATTATAATGAAACTATATATTTAGCCTTCATTTAAAAAGTAAAACATCATTATTTTAAATCTATGAATTTTATTACATTTCCTTTCAGATCTTCCTTTTTTGAATCTCTTTTCATGATTTGGATTATGTTAAAAGAAACATATATAAAAAAAAAAAAAAAAAAAAAAAAAATTAAGTAATAGGTGTACAAATGATTTTTATTTTTTTTTTTATCTGATGAATCTGATCAACCAAAAATAGGGTTACAATCTAACTTTACCCTACCATACCTTACTTTAAATTATTACAAAATTAAGAATACTTAACCTTTGTAATTGATACATGAATTTTATAAGATTTTAAAATAATTTAAAAAAATAGAAAAACTCGACCATCCCAACCAATTAAAAGATTTCTCCAACTCATTTTGTGTACACTCGAAAGCCAAATCATGAAAAATAAGCAGTATTTATTTTAATTTATCTTTGTAGAGGGCATCAATAGTAAATATGGGTAAAGAATTGAGCATTAGGTGAAAGAAATTATTGTGAGAGAACTTAGAAAGCAAGAATTTAAAAGGATAAGAAGAAAAGGGGGAAAAAAGAGTGTATTTGATTGATATCCAAAGCACCAATTGGATGCATGATTAATTTCTTTGAACTTTTTAAAATATTAATAATGTTCTAGAATTAAATCTAAATCACCAAAAAATATGTATCATATTAATTAAATCCACCTAACAAACATTCCTTGCGTTTAAAATTTGATGTGGTTACATAAACCTAAGATTAGGAAATGAATATTCCCTACCCAACCAAACAGAGATGTGACAGTTTTACTGTATTTGGATAAAATATGAACATGTTTGGGTTAAATTCTAAAGCTAAACATAAGTGAAAGTTAACCAAGAAGTGATTTATATTGTTAAGAAACCCTAATACAAGCAAAATGCCATAACTTATAACATTTCTTCCTATTTTCATAACCAAACCAAGAAACCTAAAAAAAAAGCAACCACTTTTATTTTTTAGAGTAATAATATTGTGAGATGGAGTATCCAAACCTTTAATCTTAAAAGTAGAAATTCATATTGAGATATGAAGAACAAAGAGTATAGTGAACTAAGATTATGAGAATGAGAAAGAAATCCCTTCTACTAGAATCATAACAATTTATATATATTGGACTGAACTAGGGTTTCCTGGCCAAGCGAAGCTCTTTGGCTGTTGAGTCAAGTGTTAGTTTGATCAAGTAGTTCGAGTTTTACTTAGATATGTGTTTGCATTTAAATCTAACTTTTGTGCTCTGATTCTTTAGCTATTAACTCAAGAACTAGTTTGATCAATGGCAAGTTGGCCCGAGTTTTACTTAGCGATGTGTTTACTTCTAAATTCAACTTTGGTTATAATTTCATCCCAAAAGAGAAGAAAAGAAAAGAAAAGGAATTATTATCATAAAAGTAGTTTTATTTACCAAAATTATTGCAAATAGAAGGATTTATTTCTATTATTACATGAATAGTAGTACAATTGATAATTCAAAACGTATATTTCAAATAAAAAAAAAAGAAAAATTAAAATAATAAATTTGAGTATCAATTGATAAACAAAAGTTTCTCCTCATCAAATCTTCCATAAATAATTAGTTTATATTATATTCCCTTAAAAACCATTTTACACCGTCTGATCAGATCCCCATCCAACGATCAGAAATTGATACAGTGAAATGGAAGCCACTCATTGTGACCATACGATGAAAAGCAAAAGGAGCATATAAAATGAAAGAGCATCTACATCTAGATGTGTATAAATATATAATATTTATTGTTTTCGAAAAATATTTAAAAAAAAAAAATGGAGGAAAATGTGGGCCACCTTATGGCTTCCACTAACATATTCCAAATAAATAAATTAATGAATTAATTAAAAGTGAGACGTCAAATCGAATGCCCAATCCCCACCATCGCTCTCAAATATTCCGCCAATTATTTTATTATGTATAGATTGAAATAATTATAAATTTTGGAATGAGTACAGATAATAATAATAATAGTAATAATAGGAATAGGAATAGGGGTAGAAATGCATGAATTGAGGTTATTATAATTGGTTAAGTAAAGTAAAAGTAATTAGATTAATTAATTAAATAAATTTATCTGAAGGTTCCTCCGAAGGTAGGAGTCCAAAAATCGACGGTGGTGTCGTGGGTGACAGGAAATGTACTGGAAACAGGAACTAAACAAAGCCCTCGGCTTCTCAGATCTTCTTCTCCCTCGCCTTCCTTCCATTTATCACTCCTACTCTTCAAATATGGAGTGCTCAAAACCTACAAGTTCAAATCAAAACCCATCTTCTTCTGTCTTCAAAACCCTTATAACCAAACCAAATCAAATCAAATCAAATCAAATTTCATATGCACTTACACCCACTTGTTCATGGAGGAACTTTATGTATTCAATCGCTTCAGACAGCACTGAAGCTGTATCAGTCTGACACCAAAATCACCAAACTTTCAATATTTCATCAACTTTTTTCATACCAAATATATATATATATATATATATACCTTTCCGAAAGGTGATACCAGTTGTTGCAGGGCAGTGATTCTGTCCCCCATCTTCTCTTTCCTTACCTGCAATTCCACAATTATACACCATTTTTGTTTCTAAATGTTCAATTCATTCTAATAATCAACCAAAATACCTTAAACGCTGGCAATGCCGAAGGACTCTCATTTCGTCCCCGTTTTCCACCGCCGGATTGTTGTTGATTTCCATCATTTCCACTTTTCTTCCCCACGCTTACTGAATCACCAATCTCTGAACTATTCTGTTACTCATAAAAATTTAAACTTTAATCTAAAACCCTAATTATAACCCATCAGAACCAAAACCCATTTCTTTTTTTTGCTTTTTAATGTTTCTACCTTTGGTTTCTCGGGTATGGTGTTATACGACGTCGGAACATAACTGGGTCTCACGTCTTTCATGTCCGACGCGTTCCAGAAGGCTGTGTTGTTTGAAAACTGTAATTGACTGTGTGGCGTTGAGTTTCTTAAGAACTGAGGCAGTTTTGTTGAAGGTGACCACGACGCACCCGCCGACATGAACTCGTTGGAGTTTATCCCGTAATGGGAATTGTAAGGGAAGTTCATACCTGCTGCTGCTGAGACTTGCTGTTGCTCACCGCCTAATAAGCCTTGTAATAATGTTGTGGAGTTTCCGTACAGAGTGGCGGCGGCGGTGGTGGTGTCGATTGGGAAACTGGTGACGGCGCTGTCGCTTGAGCTGTAGTGGGAAGGGCTGGTGAACTGCTGCTGCTGATGATGATGATGATCTAATGAAAATCCTCTGTTTATTCCCTTCTCTGATCTCATCCACTGAATCTGTTGTTGTTGTTGTTGTTGTTCTGTTTCTTGTAGCATATTCAAATTCATATTATCCGGCTGCAGCATAGACCGGAAACTGCCCTCCGCCGCCTTCTCGCCGCCGCCCCTACTGTCACAACAAAACAAAAATTAAGAAATTGGGAATCAATAATTGAATATATATATATATATATACACAGTTAATTAAAACATACAAGAGGGGTTGGTTCCAATCCAGGGCTAAGCCGGTGATGTGCAAATTGGGGTCGGCAGCGGCGGCGGAGGAGGAAGGGGATATTTCGGCCTCGTAGCGGCTTCTAGAAGCTTCCCACCAATTTCCACTACTCTGAAACTCCTCCGCCATGGATTCAATTAACTTCAAACCCAGCTTGATGATTGTCTCTGATCAATCAATCAACCAATTCTTCCCTTCTATCTGCGTCTGCTGATTTTATTTACAAAAAATCACTCAAAACGGTTCGCGGCATATGCCTATATATATATATATATATATATATATATAATTATTTTTGCTTTATTTATTTATTTTCTGATTTCATTTTCATATTGAGTTAAGAAGGGAAAAACGAAAAGAAATGTGGTTGACATTTTTGGGGAGGATTGATTAGACTGTTAAATTCCATTATTATGACGTTTTATATTTTTTATTCAAATATTATAATGAATTTGACCTAATTTTCATGAGTATTTATCAAAATTGAAGTTTTTTTTTTAATATTTAGAAAGAAATTTATTTTGTTTTTTAAATTTGTGATTCTCATCTGAGGCTGTTCTTTTTTTAGTTTGCTTTTGGCCAATAGTTTAACGCCAGGTTGGTCTGAACAGTGACAGGAGAGGAGCTTATTCCACTTGTCTCAAAAGCATAACAAAAATAAGGGTATAACCGTCATATCCTACATACAATTTTGAATTCTTTTTCTTTTTCTTATATATTTATTTCAATATCTAAATAAATTTCATCTCACTTGGTACATAATTTTGGAATTCATAGGTAAAAAAAAGAAAGGTAGAAATTGAAAATTGAGTTAGGATTATTCATATGACTCGAGAATTCAACCAATTCAACCCAATCGAAAAATTAAGTTGACTTAACATTACCTTACCCTACTTTTAATTTTGTGACGTGAATATTTGATATTTGAGATTTATAAGATTTTAGTTATTAATGGAATATAATTGAGATTTTTCAAAATAATTAAAAAAACGACAGGAATAGTAAGCTACAAAAGACAAATAATTTATATATTTATTTTGTATATATGTGAAGAAGGAGAGTTTGTGAATAATTAATATAAATAATTAATATTTAATGAGAAGGAGGGATTGGGTTTAAAATTAGGTGTCCGTTGATTGGGCGCTGACCATATCAGAAATTCAGTGGGAATGTCAAATTTGTCGTACACAAAAATCAGTGGACTTCAGCTTTTTCCCCTTTATTTGTGGTTGCTTAAATTATTCAAACATTTTTATCATTTAATATTATATTTATAAAACAATTCAAACCCTCCTTTTCTTTTTTCTTTTCTTTTCACAAATATTAAATCACCACTACCCTCCTTCATAATTCTTTTTTATTTTATTTCTAATCTTTTTTTTAACAGAAATTAACTAAATAATATTTATTCAATTCAAGGGGAAGGGGAAAAAAAAAATACAAAACAAAAAAAAAAAGGCTAAACACATAGTATTTTCCTCTTCATAAGTTTTTTTTTTTTTTTTTACCCAAAAAAAAAAGTTTTCTTAAATGTAATAATTAAGTGTTTGACATTAATAATAATAATAAAAATAAATAAATAGTTGTGAAACAATGTATACATTGAATTAAGTCAAGCGAAGGAATTGAATCCAATCTCAAACATGAAGGATCGGAAATAAGATTTAGATAATTGATTGAATATCTCGAGGCAAGAACACTTGTTTGAGATTTGAATCACTCAACGAACAAGATCGATCATGTTAAACTTGAATGATCATATACATGTAATCTAAACTACATAAAATAACAAACGAAAGGTAAGAGCACTTAGCCCTAATGATAAAAAAATCACTCCAAGGGAAAGTAAAATTGATATTAACTTGTTAATAAAATATCTCAGGTCAATAACACTCATTTGAGATTTGAATTATTCCACAAGCAAGATTGATTATGTCAAGTTTGAATGATTCTACATGCAACCTAAACTATGTATAATGACATATAAACTTAGTCATTGACTAAAGGAAACCACAAAATAATCTTCATTTTACAACATTTTTCAAGTCTCCTCTACAAAGACTTTGTATAGCCTCAAAATGAAAACCCTTCACCTTACATGAACCATTCCAAGAGTTGTAACTTTCATATTTTATAACTATAATTATCCACTATGCATAGTTTATGACCATAATTATTCACTGTGTAAATAAACCTTAAAATACATTAAAGAAAAACCATAAATCTAAAGTATCATCCACCCAAATTTTGTAGTCATCTAAGAATAAATGGAGCTTGATTCTTCCTTAATGTGGCATGAATTGCAACATCTTGTGATAATTTGAATAACATTTTCTTCGCATCTTTCTTAAAGTTTATTTTGTATGATTGATATTTTGGTTCATATTAATAGTAATATTGGTAAGGGTATTTTAAATTTTTTTTTTTTTTTTTTTTTTTTTTTAAGTTGAGGTATTTGTAACAACCAAACCTACTAAAATAGAGCTACCATATGCATGACCTAATTTTTCTATGAAAAAAAAAATCATTTAAAATCATTTATAAAATGATGTCATGGACTTAATGTTTGCATTAAAAGTTTTAAAATAAAACAAAGAAATATAACCAAGGTGAAATATAAATAAGTCAATAAAATATTGAAAATGATGCCCTAATCTAACCTAAAATTTATGAAAATAAAATACAACTACTCTAACACAAGTTTCATGGTCTTTATCACGACACCACCATCAGCCGTACTAGGGTTTTTGTCTTTACCTAAAATATAAGAATAACACAATAATTGAGTATTTTAAAAAATATTCAATAAGTAACCCCACTGTTAGGTTCTACAAACACATACTATCATTTAAAACTGTTTTTTCTTAGGTGGCTTTTCAGACAGGGCCAATTGGATGTGTATTTAGTTCTCTACACACGACACGGACATGCGAGCATGGACCTAGCAGGCGGGCTTGCACACCCCATAAGCCTGCTTGTTTGTCTAACAACCAGGGAGAATAGTGACCGTCATAGCATCATGATAAACTTAATGATCATTTTCATTTCATAGTGTACACATCCATACTTATCATAAAGGAGAAGTATGATGCTCATGAAAATACAATTATACATGAGGTCCCAACATTTTTCATTGTAATTAAATCATGCAAGACAACCCTCATTCCTTTCTCACGTATTATTCTTGGAAATATGCGTATATAAAACCTTACAAAATCATTTCATTCATAGCATAACCTTTAAATCATATCTTAGGAGTTGTGCATGGTAAATCTTCTTATCTCAAAACATATCATAGCATGTTATAACATATTATGTAACACAATCATATGACATTTCATTTATACTCTAATGTTACTTGACATATCGTACAGAGAAACATGTCATATCATCAAACATATCAAACAAATCCACACATATGACACGTATAATAAAATAAAAAGTTAGAAGTGTGGAAAGGAAGGGAGAGGATAATTGTAATTGTAATTTATATGTAACATATATTATATAAAAAAGGTAGTGGGCAATAGAAGTCCGTAGGTGGCGGTAGAGGAGAGAGTGTTGGGAGGAAGAGACCCATCCAAGACTCTCTTGACTCTTCGTTTTCCAGAAACACATAAAAATAATAAAATAAAGAAAGTCAACGAGTAGGGTCCACACGGCGAGCACGCGTGCACGACACATGGGGCCCACTTCTCTCTCTCTTCTACCCACCATATGAGTCAGAGCCTGGAAAATGACTTCCCTCCATATTTATAGTATTAAATATTAAATTCTTCCTTCTAAATCATTTCCTCTCTCTCTCTCTAAAAATAGTCCACGTCATCTCTCCACATTCTCTCCTCTTTGTTAAAAATAAAACCCTAATTTCTAGTAACTTTAGGTCTTATTTCGGAGAATATAATAATATGTCTTACCTTTATGTAAGTTAGGTATGCTATGTGCAAAACTTTATACAAATTCAATTTTATATCAACTCGATCCATTTTTTTTTAAATTATAAATATTAAAACATTTGAGCGTTCCAGCTATCTAGAGTTTCCTAATAACATACTCAATGGACTCTTTCACAAGGTGTATTGAGTAATGTGTACGACCCTAAATTCTCGAGGTGAAAAACATTCTGAAAATGGGTAAATAGCAAATGAGCTTTTTCTCTTGATTTTTTTGAACTTGTCTTTGAACCCTTGAAAGTCTAATTAGGAATGACTTTGTGTGTATTAAAATTCTCTATTTTATTTTTCGAGGCTAAAACATTTCGTGAGAAATGGATGAAGATCGAATTCTTTAGAGAAACAATAATATTTCATATACGGTACTTTGATGATAGAAGCCAGTAGTAAGGTAAACTCCATAAGTGTTATAGTAGAGGATAAAGAATAAAGAAAAAAAAAATGAAAGAGAAGTGACGAGGTATAGACAAACGGGTTCAGTCCATGTTTTAATAGTAAGAGTACTTATACGTTTTAAAAAGGATTAAAGATATCAATGAGACTTGTGAAAGTTTAAAAATATTATTAAAACGATGTACAATCGGTGTTTATCTATATTAATAATACCTATAAACTTTTAGAAATTTCGTGAATATTATTTGATAAAAAGCAAGATTGGCAGCTTTGGAGAGCTCGCCCTTAAAATGTTTGCAAAATTTTCGACTCGGGTAAGAATATGCTTGTATGGTTGAATAGGACAAGCTAGACATACATACTATATTCAACCTCACTAATCTTTAATCTCTTATTCCCTATCTCACACTCCCTAAATTTGGAGTCCTTTTGCCATTCATAGCTAATGTGAGTATCTGATTGGACGCTCCATCAATTTGAAGTTGAATCATTTGTGATTCTTTCTTTATTCTTTATGTATGGGCGCGTCCCCCGCCCACTAATGATCCTAAAAACACATTCTTCTTCTATCTCAAACAGACTAGAGGGAGCAATTTTGAAAAACACCCCATATAACTAGGGGGATTTAGAGCATTTTAAAAAGAACACATTCAATTAGCATAGACATGCCTCACCCTCACAAGACCTCATCTAAGATGTTCCTTAAAAGATCATATTACTTGCTCATTGGTGGTGCATAGATGGGTTTCAAGAGGGATTCTTCTCCAATAAATGATAGTTGTCCTCTAGGGTATGGAGCCAAGACCTGCTCACGTAGCTCCTTAATCGTTGTACATCATGATATAGACGGGAAATTGTTTGCCACAATCTCTTTTTCATGAAAACATGTACCATTCACAATGATCATGAGGCCACGTAGTT